TAACAATTTGTGTGGGTGAGTTAAATAATTATTCATGCTTAGCACCAATTAGACTCTTCCATGCATGCAAATGACATAACTAAGATCCCCCACTTACATAGTTATTCCTCAGGTCAGTATGAGTATGCTGCACTCCTACACAAAAATGACCAATGTTATTATAAGAACAATAATCATCTTAAGCCCCCCATACACTAGGCAACATGTTGCCTAGTGTATGGGGGGCTTTACCATCATCCACGACACCAACTAATATTCCAATTCCAGTATATCCTTGTATCCATGCTGGTTCTGCATTCAGATCAAGGTAAAGGTTTGTCTCATTCGTCTGACCAGTATTGTTCTACAATAAAAAATCCAGCTCTAAATAATCTTGGTCAACTTTCACTCCAATTGATAATACACTATCTATTATTCATGATACTTTACTCCAATTGATGCTATCTATTATACCATTTATGATGTTACTTACAACTGTCCACTGACTGCACTACAGTGGATCTGTCTGACATGTTGGTTGAATATACTTCTTTTCCCAATTATGCAAACTCTGCTGCTGTACATACCCTACCTACAGGATGCAAGGCATAGTTATACTTTGATACAGTACATTATATTCACGTATTGAAAAGGATTTCATTATTAATAGCAACAAGAAATAACAATAATCATATAATGCATGATGTAAGAGGTTACACAGTGATGCATGTACTAATGAAGCAAGCACGAAGGGTACAAAGTTACTAGAAAGACATGCATGCACTTTCTAATGAAATGAGAGTCATGAGGAAAAAGAAAGAGAAAATTAAAGAGACGAGATAAATGAAGTTAACGAATAATGAACATGAACATAATCGTAATGCTGATAAGATAATGCAAATAAGCACAATAATATAAGTATACTTGCATAAGATTAAATAATGCATACATCAAAGTCTCAAATATCACAAAGTCCAGTAGCATATTGATAGCATTTGTCATTACAAGTAAGGAAAGAAAAAGTGTCAAATTATTTTACACCACACAAATAATTAAACAAAACTACTTTCTTTGTGCTAAATCAAATGTATTGGTATGTGAGCAACAGTAGAGTTGCAAAATTTGCAAGTTTATCTTTTAAGTGCAAAAACTCAACTAACTCAATACATTGATAGTGTTGATAAATTTTCAGAATCATCACACGTCAGTCTGCAACTAATTTTTGTATACATATATGCATATATATCCACTGTAAATGCAGTTAGAGCAGAAAGAACAAATAAACTATTTGTAAAAACCTGCGCATAATTATTTTGTTGTCAGCATAACAGCAATGGGCTGAATAGCTTGAAATATCATGTGCTGCAAGTGGTATAATGGCCACAAATTTACTAAAGCATTTTTGTCTAGTGTAGTCTATGTCTCTGGCTTTACCTTTATCTCTGACTGGAGGGCAGTTCTCATGTATTGTACTTCAGTACCAGATTCAACATTTTCATTAGTACTGTGGATAAAGGAGCTCATTTTGAAATGATAAATGTTAGCAAAGGCACCAACCTACCAATGATAACAATTATAATATTTCATTTGTTCCTTACTCTTCCCATGTTAGTGAAGCCATGTCTCTCTGCAATTTCATTAGCAGCTTCAATTCCACCATGAACCTCAACAGCCCAGCTATCAGTAAAGACTGCTACTGGCAGTTGGGCTTGGCCTTCAATGTATGCACCAATATCAGCAGCAACAATACTGAGAGTAAGAGTTAGAGCTAACAAAAGCAAAGAGGAGGTCATCTTCTCCGACTAGAGTAGATCTACAGCCTAGGAAGGTGTCAATTTATCCTTTTATGATTATTTACATTCAGAGATATGAGACCCACCCACCTGATAATCATTATCTTATAGCATACAACACTATGGTAGTGTTGTTTTAGTTACAAAATGAGACTTTTAGTTAGTAATAGTTAGTTATGGAACTTTAGATTTTGATTTTAGTTAGATTTAGTTAGTTATGCTTCAACAAAAATAATTTTAGTTAGTAATAGTTAGTTTTTAAAATTTCTAAATCTTTTTAGTTAGTTATAGTTAGTTTTAAAATTTTTTAAAAAGATTTAGTTAGTTATAGTTAGTTAACTAAAAGTAAAATTAGGCCTAACTAAAAGGGTTTTAGTTTTAGTTATAGTTACTTAAAACATTATTACTAGCTACAAGTAGTGAAGTGCTAGACTAATAAGTACTTCTATGTTTTAGTTTGAACTTTAGCCATTTTAGTTAGTAATAGTTAGTTTTGCAAATACTATAATACTTTTAGTTAGCTTTTTAAATTTTTAAATATTTTTAGTTAGTTATAGTTAGTTTAAAAAAATTTTTTTAAGTTTTAGTTAGTTATAGTTAGTTAACTAAAAGTAAATCTGGCCTAACTAAAAGGGTTTTAGTTTTAGTTATAGTTAACTAAAACAACACTACACTATGGAATGAATTACATATATATGTTAATCTTTTGACTCAGTAAAATGACCTTC